ACCATTTTGCAATTTTCGCAAAAGTCGGCGAGTTATTAATTATTCAAAATCGCTGTCTTAGGCCGGCCCACTGCCCAATTGAAACGTGCGGCGAGATCGATCGATCGTTACTAGGCGCGCAGAGAGTTGTAACGATCGGTCGATCTCGCCGCACGTTTGAATTGGGCAGTGGGCCGGCCTAACAATTTTTAATAATTAATAACTCGCTGACTTTTGCGAAAATTGCAAAATGGTAGAGGACTTTTCGACTTAGTCTAGTCCACTCTATCCCACAATAAGCGTTGATGCGGGTATTACATAACACCCTGTATTATTTTATGTTAATCTAGCGCTCTTACTGCTTTCTAGCCCTGTAGGACTACGGATATTCCCCTAAGAAACATAGAAAGCGAGTTAACTGCAATGGCCAAAACATGGAGATACTGATTTTTAGATTAGGACGGCAGTATGGACAATACGATATCACGGTTTCTCCGTAAGAGAAGTCGACTGTGTGTGATTTCGTACGAGGAGTCTGCACCCTCGGTTTATATCACCGTACAGAGCGGGCGAGTGTCCGAACCGTCGAATACCTTCTCGTCAGCCTCCTCTCTTTCCCATGCGTCGACGCGAGGGTCGTAAATGGCGGAGGAGTGCCGCCGCGTTTGGGTATAAATTGCGTTAAATGGGACGCGTGTCGCGCGGTTATTGGAAGATCGGACGCTTTATCGGGCATTTTTTTTTTATCCCTTTGCACCCACCGCGCCCACCGGCACCCGAAGATCGCCCGATGTAATCCCGGCTCGAATGCAACCCTTCGCTTCATCGCCGTCGCATTTCCGTAACGACTAACGGAAATATCTCTTTCTCCGTTTCTTTTTTCTTCTCCTTTCTCCTTCGCTGTTTACGTAAATCTTGGCAACGTGACGGATCTAGAGCGCGAAGGCGGAATTTTAAGATGACACCTGGCGCAGGAAAACGCCTAGTCGCGCGGGACGGCATTAAAGACGAAGAAGCGAAGACATGGACACCGTAAGAAATACACGGAGAGAAGCGCGGAATGAGATAAAATAGAGAAGAAAGTTTAATTTGTCGGACACTCGTCCTATTATTTGCGATGTTTGTCGCGTGGAGAGGAGGAGAATCTAATTGACAGATATGGTAGGTAAGTTGGCACGTCGTTGATTCGCAATTCTTCGTAAGAGTCGATTGCCAATTAGTTGCGAACGAGAATCGTCCTTGGAAAGATCGATTTTGGATTAATTGATAATTGGCCTTTACAGAAAATCTGGCGAGTTGTCAGCGGCTACGTGCCAACTAATCCGCTTTTAATCAACTAGATCCCGACTCCCCTGTGCGACAAACTCGCATTGAAGATAATAGGAGACGCGCGGGCACGGTGATCATTTCTCACTGAATTGTTTACGGAATTGCGACTCTTTTACAACGCTTTTGATCCGATGTAGTGCTTCATAATACTTGATAGATACACCCGAGCGCTTTTCCCTCCTTTCCCTCGAAAAGAAATTCTTGAGAAATAATTACGTCGATTCGCGGGGCTTTAAATTCTCCAACACCCGCTTCCTGCCACCGCCTTTCCCCGACAAGTTCTTCCTGGCTGCGAGGAGAACGACCGTCGTATGCGTCCGCACGTGCACGAGGTCGTTGGAAAACGCAATGATTTCAGACCCGAACATCCCCGAGATCGGCGAGCAGGCCGCGAGGGCAATGCACAGCATCAGCGACGAAGAGTGCTGCTTCCACGAGAATTGCGAGGACGCTAATGACGGTATCTGCCCCAAGAAAGACGTCTGCAAGAAGCTGTGGAAACATCACAAGGCCCACGACCCCGGGACGGCGCCCCAATGCGATATGAACTTCTCTCAATCTGGTTCTACAGGTAGGCGTCAGCTCTAAAAACGATCGGGATATTAAAACGATTGAGAATGTAAGGAACAATTTTTTCATATTAAAAATCTTAACACTTTTCACGCGAAAGCGAATTAAGTTAAGTAAAGACGCCCATCGCGGGGACTGAAGGGAAGTCCGGGTTTGAACCCTGGCTGGGGGTGACAGTTTTAAATTATTTGCAGTGATTTCAAAAGGATGCTCGTTAGCCAAAAAAAAATTGAATCAATTCGAGTATAGGGATTTACCGTTCCAACGGAAAACTGCGTTTCAATGCGGACAAATAATCGGCGCGCGCAGTTTGCTTAATTAGAAAGTGTAGAAAAATTCACACAAAACTATTACCAAGGTCTGAAATGACGCTTCTCTGTTTCTTAAATGTAGAATTTTATGTCTAAATATTTACAGTATTGTAGTGCAGTTATGTGCGAATATTCAAGTTCGATTGGAGAAATGTGTCGGAATGATCTCTTGTCGAAGGGCTGTTTGAATAACTAGTTTTGTCCGATTCCCGATATCGCGAGAGGCCGCAGAATTTTCTGTTTCACTTGTTCGACCGATATAATCCTCGTCTAAGCCAACGGTCCGGTCATTATTCTGACCACAGGTCCGGGCTCGCAGGCGGGCCAACCGGAAACGTCGACGGACCGCAAGCTCACCGACGGCAGCGACGAGCAGGACACCAGCACCGCTCCTTCCTTGTCCAGCACCACGACACCTTCGACCATCACCGTCGGCCAAAAGGACACGGCGTTCTGCGGCAGCGGCCGCATCGGCTCGATATCGAGCGCGTCCTCGCCCGGCCGACCGAGCCCGCCGATTGTCCTTCAACTTTTCTGGCTCTGTTCGATCCTGATCACCCTCCCTGCGAACGCGCTGCAGTACAACGCCGTGTCCTGGAGTCCCTCTGGATTCCTCCGGCTGATCGGTTCCGGCCTGCACCTTTCGGGCGCATTCGACCTGAGGAGGGTCCTCGGCGATCTTTGCGTTTCCTTCGGTCCACGCTCGACCGGCATCTACCGGCTTGCCGTCGTGCGTTGCCTCCTGTTCGTCCTCGGGATGCCTGGACGGGCCGTGATGAAGTGCCGTTGTCGCGGATGGTGGTGGTGGAGGTCCTGGAGGAGGTCCAGCAGCCGGCACTTCCGCTGGAAATTCCTCCGTCGTTTCGGCGCCGCGGCCCGGCGGTCCGTCTTGCGCGTGTCGATTGCTATCCTCGAGATATTCCTTAAGTACGCGGCAAAGTATCGGTGTCGCGACTGGTGGTGGTTGTGGCGTCGGTGGCGAAAGTGCGACGGTTCGACGGAGCAGTACACGAAGCTTGTCCCTCGGAGGAAACATCCGGCGACTCGCGGGACGGCACGTCGACGACGCGGCAGAAGAAGAGATCTCTTCAGAGTTCTCAGAACGGACGTCGGAAACTCGGCCGGATCGATATCCAGGAAGGATCCGCCATAGGGTAGACAGCTTCGCTTTCCTGGATACGCAGGATCGTACGGGTTTTCTTCTATCGCGGGCTATCCGCGAGAGCTTGTCTCCACGGTGCCGGAGTAAGCGAGAAGCACGCAGACTCGATCGAAGCGAAACTCGATTGAGGACAGATCGACGCAGCGAAACGTCGGACGAGCAAGTATACAAAGGATCAGGGGGGACGTCCCCGGAATATTGCACGGGTAGAAAGAACACCAGCGCTGCGAGGAAGTAGCGAAGGGATCCAAGGATCAAGTGGAGGAGCGCGGGCCGGTCTCGTCGACGACTTCGGTTCCGCAGACTAGAGCAAAAGAGGGAGGAAAGGGAGAACAACAAAGAACAACTTCATCAACCAAAATAAGAACAACCTAGAACGAAGGAAACTAATGTCTAGAGTTAATAATAATGATAATAATACAATAATAATGAATAAAACAAAATAAAATAATAAATAATGAATAATAATATAGTTAACAATAATGATAATGATGAGAAATAATAATGAAGATAAAATAATGGAGTAAACGATATAAATATATAAATATATAAATATATTATATATATATATAAAGAGAAACGATTGAAGAATAACGTTAAAGTAAACGATAGAATGATACCGACACAATTATTATTATATATTAAATTACGTTACACACGATGCGACTGAGAGAGCGAAAAATGTAAGGAAGAGAGAATTTGTGTGTTTGTGTGCGTGTGTGTATGTGTATGTGTGTGAGAAAGGGTGATAAAAGACGAGGGAAAAAGAGAATGGATGCAGAATCCGACAAAAGCAGACGTATAGACACACAAGAGAACACATACACATTGGGGTATAAATCGTTAAACTTTAATAAGCTGACATTAAAGAAAGCAAAACCGTAGATAGGTAGTTTCCTCGGCCAGAGAGAGAGAGAGAGAGAGAGAGAGAGAGAGAGAGAGAGAGAGAGAGAGAGAGAGAGAGAGAGA